AACGTTTAATGATTAAGGCAATACTTGAGCTCAAGTTTATCGAGGTAAACATAATAAATCATAGGTAGACTAAGGCTACTAAATGTTGAATTTTGCCGGTTTTTGCGTGGCTTACTCCTTTTGATAGACTCCTGATATATATGATAGACTCCTGATATATATATACACATCAGAAGTAGATAATAGGGAATAGGGAATTCCCTATTATCTACTTCTGATATTCATACATACGTGCTGGCGTGCAACTAGACAGTATATTTATATGGCGGTAATTTACAGAAAGACTATTAGTCATAAATGCTCACAAATGATGATAGATTCTGGGAACCAAGGAGGGGATGCAACATATATATATATCTGTATGAAAATTATCAAGAGATTTCACGGTATCTCTCCCGATAGAGGTGGGATCATAGCATGCTTCCAAATCTCATAAAACAGAACAGGCAAATGTCAGGAAAGATGTGGCTACAGGTGTGACCTATGCACAGCTCGCTCATGCGCATACTCTTCTCATGAAGCCATGAAAATGAAGCCTTTCATACGTCTCTCTCTCTCTCTTCCTTCCTTCCCCTTCTCGCTTCCTCTCTCTCTCTCTCCTGCCTCCTCCTCTCTCCTTTTCCCCCCCTTTCACACTTTCAGAACACACTCCTTTCTCGGTTTCTCTCCTTTATTTCCCTCTCGTGTCCTTCTTTCCCCCTTATATCATATAAATTAACTGAAATAATTTCAACGACGCGTGGTGGCACAGCAACTGTTGACTGTCTGTAGAATTATGTCTCAGAAAAACCGCGAACGACACGCTGTCTGCGATTCACATTCTGCTGCCAGGACAATGATTCCGCTGCTGCCATGGTGACCGAGTAGGCTGGTTGCTATGGCAACTGTGCGCCATTTCAGTTGCACAGCAGGAAAGAAGTGTGGGGAAATGTCAAAGGGTAGTGTCTGCCGAGTTAAGCGCGTGAGACGGGGCTGTGGCGCATGCAGCATAGCAGCAGAGCAAGCACGCTGTCTGGGTTTGAGCCAAACTAAAAGAATCAATACTATAATTTAAAATGAAAAGTGTTCGGTCTGCATTGCAGCCGACTTGAAACGAAAATGGGAAACTCCGTGACATGATTCGGGATGTTTGGATGTATGGGGGAGGGGGAGGGCGTGGCGTCGTTTGTGACTACGTACACACGTCTACGTAAAAATAGCTTAAACAACAACTAAACGAGCAGGAAACGTGCAGGTATAGCTGTTGTTGTTGTTGTTGTTGCTGTTGCTGCTGCTGCTGCTGCTGCTGCTGCTGCTGCTGCTGTTGCTCTTGCTGCTGCTGCTGCTACGTGTACGTTCCCGGAAGCATCGATATGCTAGTTTTAATGGTAGGAAACCGTTGACTCCCGTAGAATCACGTCGTTTTGATGTGTAACACAATAACCAGCAAAATCAGCTGCTGTTACGTAATGGAATACATGCGCAACTGCATGCGGATAGTAATTAGACTAGTATGAGTATTAGTATTAGTATGAGGCAGAGTACATACTCTGTGTGTTCACTCCACGCTAGACCCTCTACCACACTCTGTATTATGATAATGCTCGTCCGCACCACCACACACACCGAGATACATGCCACTACATGCTGTGTATTTTGTCCCCCACTATTACGCGTAAGAACGAGAGAACATCGGCTCGTACGAATAGAACTTTGAAGCAAAGAAGAAGAAAAAACGTTATGATTGAATCGCCTTACGCCTTACGGTACGACGCAGCCAGACGACTCGCACACACGCACACACGCACTAACGCACACACGCACTAACGCACGTACGTACGCACACACACACGCACGCACGCATCCGACCGCATGCACCACATCGTGCGCGCTAGAGATAGAGAGAGAGAGAAAGAGAGAGAGAGAGAGAGAGAGAGAGAGAGAGAGAGAGAGAGAGAGAGAAAGAAAGAGAGAGAGAGAGAGAGAGA